AAAACTTATTTCTGTTCTAAATCCACTTTTAAATGAATTTTGAGTGTCATTTATTGACAGAGAGGGTTAGGATGTACCTGTAGCATGTGTTGCCATATATCTTAGCAAGATCAAATTCAGTTATATGCACTGATCTTTCTAAGATATCATGGTTTTACCAAAAGTCATAGGAGTAAGCTGCTTCACCTTCTGCATATGATTATAAACTTATTTTTGGTTTTTACCATATTCCTAAATTATAACTATTTGTGTGGCTTTTCTTTATTCCCTGTCTTTTGCAACATAGCACATATTTGGGTATATAATAGATTATTACCATTTCCACTGTAGACCCCATTTTCAAATTGTTGGGAAGTAATATGCCGGGTTGTAGTAGATGATTGATACATAATAGCTCTAGTTATGTATCACTACTGTATTTGCCTGTTGGAAAAAAAAGAGAAAGTTACAAATATATGCATATGTTGGGAACATATAAAGGACAATTAACAATTTTGCTCCATCTTCTTTGACACAACAGGCATAACCAGTATTCTGAAGGCAAAGCTCAGACATACAACTCTAGATCAGATAACGTTCTTTAGATCAACCTTGTCATGGTCAAAGTGTACACTGAATTTAGCCATCTGGTATGTAATTAAGTGTTTAGGGGGAATTGTTGATGACTCCCTCTAGAATTGATCCATGTTTTACCCTCTGTAGTGCTGGCAGTGATCTAAGTGGATGCGTATGCCATTTCCTATTAATTTCCTTAATTTGCCCCCTAAGAAGGGGATAGAATAGGAGAAAAGATGTTAATGTGAATATTCAATAGGTAGCCTGTGTTCTTTCTGTTCTCTTGGCTAAAGTCCTGACTACAGTGTTTCCCCAACAATGGAAAAATAGTGTATTTGTTGATATAGCACATTATTTAATTACATGCTACAAAGAAAAACATTTCTTTTTATCTTATTTTAAATATCATATTTCATATGTATGTAGAAATGTAATTCAAGTTACTAATTATGTGCTTTCCCTTTACCTTTTAATTCTAAGTAGAACCACTCTATGGTACATTAAAAATTCCTTGAAATGTCTTAAGGATTTATCCATGCCAGATCTGCTTCAAGATGTGTATCTGAACATACAGCCTTCCCTATTTTTTACCTCCTACTACCATGTGTCACCAGCTTCCCCTTCCAAGTCTAAGAAATCTTCTTTGCCACATGTAGTGAAACTGTAACTTCTTCCAAGATAAATAATTCCATAGAAGTTTAAAAGCTCCCTTAAATAATGGGATGTAATATGATACAGCACACATTCACTTGTCTAGTTTAAAACTTAAGATATTCAAAATATAGCTGCTTTCAAATAAAAATAAATTGAGGAGACATTTATGTTAGTTTTCTTTCCTGCCCAACATAAACATAGTTTAAGAGAATGTCAGAAACCTTTCCCAGTATGTCCTGAGAATACTATGTTTCTCATGAAATTGACTTAAAAGGTAATTTCTAAAAATTACTTGTAACATGATTTGATGGAAACGCATACTCTTGATTTTTCTCTCAGCTCAAGTGGCTTGAGATCCTAATTTATTTTACAGTTAGTCATTTTTGCAGTTACTCATTTCTCTACACTCAACATTTAGTTGTGAAATCAATGGGATCGAAGCAGATTGTGGTTGTGCATGATAGTGGGGGACACTGGCAATGTTTCTGATGCTGATTGGCACAGTGGCTCTCATGCCATCTTTGAAAGGACACATTGCAGGTGCTGTAAAAGACTATTTTACACATAGGTAGGCTGCATAAATACCTGCTCCAGTTCCTCCCAGATTACTGATCCCTACTTGATTTATATACCTAGTTAAATTTTCAAAGACAAAGGTTTTTTTTTTTCTTTGAAGTATGTATGAGTCCGAGCTACAGACAAATTTCTTTCATTAGGGGTTGATTTCAGAATTAAGCATTCTTAGAAATTGAGACCTTTATAGCTTCAAAATTCCCGTGCGTAATCAGATCTTCAGTTCTGTTTTTAACCACTGGAAAAGCTGCTTCATAAAAGTTAAGACAGCATTTACTAACTTTATATGTAACCTACCTAAATTTGAGTGGAAATACCAAAACATTGTTCAAAACTTAATGCTGTTGAGAAAGACCTAGTACACACTTGGTACTTAAAGATATCAATTTGATGTACGCCTTAGCAAACACAGTAGGAAGTTAAAGACAAGTTTCCATTAGTTAACTAATGATATACCTTTGTGGCTTTGGCTGCAGCTCTTCCTCAGTGAAATCCACAACATTCAGTTACCAGACCATATATTTATAGTCTTTCTCAGTGTCCAGTTATAGATTTCTAATCTTGCCAGTGTTCAGTTGTCAGTCAGAATCTGCCTGTCAGTAGAACTGGCACAGGGCAGAACACTGCAGTGTTCACAAGGTTCCTGCCTTGTAGTTTAGGGGTTGGTAAATAGCATGTCCATTTCCACAGACACTAGGAAGCTGAGGTGCAGGGAAGGTGGTTAACTGTTATTCAGAGGCCATATCCTAAAGTGAGGATTCGATTCTGACTCTTCTCTTTCTTTCTCTTCAAAGTGAACACTGCATGGAATCCCAAGTCTTTTTCTGTGATTAATTCAGGGAAGCAGATAATGGTAGAGTTTCAAAACCATGTGTGTCACATTTATTGATATTGTAATCCACACCTTTTTGGAACCCATGTGTTTTGAAAAGTTTAAATATATAATTGGAGGTCTCTCCAGGCAAAATTTGTTAAAAGATCACATTTGTCTCTCAGAGCTTCTCAGCAGATGTGTGTGACAGCCATGTGCTAAAGTGACAAAAGTCCAGGAGATAGGTTTGAAAGCATGCTAATAATGATCCCTCAGGAAGGATTTTCTATATTTAAGAATTTACCATTTCTATTGTTAATTGATTAAAGGAAAAGATTTCATAGACTTTCTTCCTCCTATTCCTCATTCTTACCTCTTAGGACAGAACCTGTTGACTACAAGATCAACTGCAGTATGGACTTTTTATAGTTTAACCAGTAGGGAGGATCCAAATTTCACTTAAGTAGAATAATGAGTTTTCCTCTCAACTAGTATTGTCAGTTGCCGGTTTTTAAAAATCCTCCAGGAGCATTCTCTGAGCTTAGATTATTACAGGCTACAGTGTGCTCCCTCCCCTCAACTCCCAACAAACATGTGCTATAGGAAGTTGATTCCCAAGTGTTTGTGACAGATCTAAAAAAGAGATTGTTTCTGCTTGAAAAATGAAATTACTAAGGTAGCTATAGAAAAGATCAGGGCTTGGGCAGTGGATCAAGAACTTGATGGGAAAATCATGGCATTTGCAGGTCAAAGACTCTTTAAGTGTGTTCTTTGAAAACTAAAAAAACAAAACAAAACAAAACAAAAAAAACATGAAACTATTTCTCTGTCGTTTTATCATTGACCATATTCCGTGCTTCAGGTAATGTCTACATTAAATATAAATTTGTAATTACATTAACAGCAAATTGAAAAGTATTTGGTAATACACATATTGAAAAACTCTTTAAGAATAATGTCTCGCCACAGTGTGGGAACAACTGAGTAAGTGCAATATTGAGATTAAATTAATGGTTCTCTGTTTTACCAGCCATGTGGGAAAAAAAAAATCAAGATACTCTAATAAAAGATTTTGGTGATTTCATATCATGTCAAAATGTTCACCCTGTCCGCTGGGAGAAAGAAGCTAGCTGAGACAATTTATATATCTCTGCAGTATTCAGAAATCCAGTTTCTGAACACGCAGCTAGGTTGGACTTTCCACATTATATCTGGCTAAGAAGCCAAGAGTCTAGGACCCCTTTCTGCCTGGGAAAAAAAAAAAGCTTATTGCCTGTTGTTTTCTTTCTAGTCAAATAAATGGGTTTACTCTCCTTAAGTTCTTGGTATGTTGAAATCAGCCCAGTTATCTGAAATGGATAATGCTGTTTTAGAATTCCGTGGAAGCAATATGGCATAATCATGATGTATGAGGGCTCTAAATCAGCTGGAATTTAAAACCTGCCTCTACTACTTACCTCTATTGGTTACCTGCATTCTCACTCCTGGGCCTCTCGTCTGATAAATGCAGCTAATAATGGTTCACATCACAAAGGGGAATTGTGAGGATTAAATCAAACAAAGCATATAAACTGTTTAGAACAATTCTTGGTATGCAGTAAGTATTCAATAAATGCTAACTATAATTATGATTGTAATTATTTATTGCTGCTGTTGCTTCAAAAATGTATTTTCTTATGTTTTCTACAATCCCAGATTAGTGCAAATGATATGAATTGTTTAGAGATTTTCTCCCATTCACACTTGCGAGAATTCATTTTGAAGATTTATTTTTTTTTCATGATGCCTCTTCCACAAATCCCTCTGGCTTCCCACCATCCAAGCCATAAGTGTTTGTCAGAGCCAAGTTGATTATTAATCAAATGGAGCCTGAAGAAAATCTTTGGGATTGTTTTAATTGTGGTTTAAAGAACTTCTCTTACCATCTGGGCTTACAAAAATACCTAGAAGTTAAAAATGAAGTAAATTTGAACAAAATCTCCAGCTTTTGGTGCTTTATGTACAGCAGGCTGATAGTCTACGAAGAAGAAAAAGTTTGCCAAATGATCACAAATTTTCAGAAAGGAATCTAGTTCACACTGTTTGTTTTTTTCAGTCAGGATATGTAATTTGTCCCTCATTTCACGTGTTCTTATAAATTGGAAAGAACTTCAAAGCCAAACAACATTTTGAAGTGCTTTTGCCCTGACTTCTTGGAATGGTCTACCTTAAAGAAATGGTCTTTTGTTATGAGACAGACTTAGCATTTCTTTTTCAAAGGAAACCATCATTTTTCTAAATAAACTCTACTGGTTTAATGCTCTTTCTCTACTTGAAATACATTTTCTCCCGCCTGCCGAAGCAGGGTATTTGCAGCGGAGTGATCTTGATTCCTCTTTGTTCTCTCTGTCTGATGTGCCTTTGATAGCGGATGGTTTCTCGCTCTTTGGGAGCAAATCCAGATGATCTGAAGGACCCAATTAAAATTAGTATTCCACGCTACGTTCTCTGCGGGCAAGGAAAGGATGAACACTTCGAGTTTGAGGTCAAGGTAAGTGTTTCTTCTTTACTTTACTGGAGAAATGGAGGCGCCAGGTTGTGCAGTGCATTCGCTGCTTTTTTTGTAAAGAAAGATGAAGCTGCAGCTGAATATCTAGTTTTAGAAAGATATTTGCCATGCCCAGTTTCAAACCAGTGGGAGCTCTGACCATCACCCAAAGGGTGAAGCTACAGCACAGAAGGTAGCGGTGATTAGGGTGTCAGGCATGTATGTGGTAGATCTACATATTGTAGGGTAGCCAATCACCCCAGGTTACCCAGGAGTGTACTACTCTGTGCATAAAATTCTACTCACTAAGGGTCTCTGCTTTGATGCCAGGCAAACCAGGACACATGGTCTACCTACCTATGGACTTATGCTCAATTTTCATATCTCTAATAATGGGAATAATGTTATTTATGTCACAAACAGCATATGTATGAGTGCATATAAAGTGCCGAGTCTAGTGTTTTGCTAATAATAAGCAACACAGTATGTCTATTGCTTTTATTACTACTGTTATTTTTATGAGTGTATTAATACTACTAAGTTGTAATCTTTCCTAATTGGTTTTAGACATTATTTGATTTATATAGCTTTGCAGGAAGAGATATGCCTGCTTCTTTATATTACACTTTTTGAGATCATGACTTCATCTTATTTCTATTTTATTTCCATTGACTCATAACATTTTATTAAATATTGTTGGCCACCATCCCCTTTTCAAGGAATTAATGATACACTGTACTCCTTATTTCCAAGATAGGTGATGATGATTGCTGTAATGACATATAGCAGGCTTCACAGTTTATGGCTGTATAAGGTGTTCCTGGGGGTGATTATCACAAGATGCCAGACTGTAATCTAGATGCTGAGTTCTTTATATTGTAATTCTGCTTCAGTTCACTCAATGCCTATAAATTTCAACTTTTCTGAGCCTCAGTTCCCTCATTGCTAAATGAGGAAGTTGGACGACAATACTGGTTTCCATATTTCTTTGTAGCTGAGGCCTTTGTTTAATGAGTATCTTAGGAGGGAAGTCTTTAGAAAATAGGTAAACTTGGGGCTGCTCTGGGGCAAAGGAGCTCCTTCAGGTATGCATGCTCTTTCTGTTTTCCTACAGAAACAGTGCAAATCACTTTTCTAATTTGTCAGGTTTTTTGATTCTTATTTCTTGTACTCAGTTTTCCTTTAAAATTGAAACAGAACACCTAAGCATTCATAGTTGGGCTTGAGGTTTTTGTTGAGAAGATATGACATTTGTGTATGGGTGGCTTTGTCTTGAACTTTGCTTCTTTGCTGCCAGATTTTGAGGCTTTTGATTCAAATGTTATAGCATGCCTTTATCTAGTACTTCACTTCCCACTGCTACTGCCTTAATGCCTAATTCCTACTCAGTCTCTTTTCTCAGCCATTTTAAATTGTTTGTGCATATAGAATTCCATGAGAGAGTGAGTTTGTGTGTATGTCTATAATGTTTTATACACACACACACACTTTATAAACAATTTCTGGAGGTGTTTTTAGTATTTCTACATTTTTTTTTAAAGATTTATTTATTTGTGCATACAGAACTGGGGTACAGGCCAGAGGCTCAGGGGCAGCGAGAGGCTTCACCAGAGACAGAGTGGGGGAGCAGAACAGGCAGATCGACGAAGTACACTGCTGAGGGGAGCAGCGGGCGGGTCAGGAGAGGTCTGACGCGCCATGTGGTCACCTCCCGGGCAGGCGGGGATCAAACTCATGAGGAAGTGGCTTTAGCTTCTCAGTGCAGTGCTTTAACCCACTGCACCACCAGGGAGGGCCAGTATTTCTACATTTTTAATTGAAATAAAATTGACATATATCATTGTGTAACATGTTGATTTCATAGATTTATATATTAAAATATGATTGCCACTGTAGTCTTGACTAGCACTCTATCCCATCACATAATTACCAGCTTTGTGTGTGTGTATGTGGTAGTAGCTATTAAGATTTAGTCTCTTAGCAACTTAAATAAAGTTGTTTAAAGTTTACAATACAGTATTGTCAACTGATCACTATCCTGTATGCGTTCCAGAATTTACTTATCTATTAGCTATGATTTTGTACCCTTACGCAGCCTATCCCTAGGTCCCCAGCTTCTAGCCTGTGGTAACCACCAGTGGACTCTATTTTGACAAGTTTTGCTGTTTTAGATTGCTTGTGTAATCACTGTACAGCATTTGCCTTTCTCTGACTTTGTATAATACTCTCAGGACCATTGAAGTTACTGAGAATTATATCCTTTCTCATGGCCAAATAATACTCCACTGTGTATGTGTATGTGTCTTTACCACAGCTCCTTTACCCATTCATCCACTAATGGGCAATTAGGATATTGTGAATAATGCGGTGCCAAGAATGGGAATACAGATTTTCCTCTCTTTGAACTCCTGTTTTCATTTCCTTCAGCTATATGCTTGGATCATATAACCGTATATTATTTTGGGGGGACCCTCCATTTTGTCTTCCATAGTGGCTCAACCAGATTTTAAATGAGAGAATAAAGGCTCACTTTCACTTGTTTAAAATTAAAGTTAAAATTCTCCAAAACATAAAACTCATAGCACTGAAGGACATGCATTGATTTCAGTTAGTACATAAATGTATTTCATTTGAATCAACCAGATGTGTTAATACAAATATTTAATTGACTTATTGCATAGAACTTAAGGAATGGATAAGATGTTCACTGTTTCAAATCTGAGTTGATTTATATAAAAAGGCAAACAAATAATAGTCCAGGCTGTATGTCAATTACAGGCCAAAATTATAAAGCTGCAAAGGCAGGATAGTGAAACCAAATACAGAGAATCCACAGAGTCTTCAGACTAGCTCTATGCTTTTACTTCAAAATACATAAAGTATAAAAAACGTTTTTCTTTCTTTGAACTTATCAAAGCCATATTCTAAAAGCATGCCATTGTTCTGCTTCCTTTTTGTACTTTTCCCAGGTGCTGTAATCATTAACACCAGGAGTGGACTGTAAGCATTTGCCTGGAGAGCTTCTAGTTTTCTGAGTAGGGAGGGTGCTTCATGTACTCATAGATAGGTGATCTGACAGTCTCACAGTCCTGTGAGTCTACCCCATCATAGCAGTATTGGGGCTCTATACTAGAAACAAACTTGTATTAATATACTGCTCTTCTCCTTAATAAAGCAAACAAGCATGGTTGAACTCCCCAAAGAAGGATAGCAGCTAGAATAGCTCCAGATTCACCAATGTCCTTTCCAGCCTTTTTCAGTTTATCTAGGCAAGTCAATGTACCTCCCTGAGCCGCATCTGTAAAAAAACGGTTGGTATGGAGAGAGTGGGAGGTCATATGTGTGGGGTGTTGGAACAATGCCTGCCACTTATACTAAAGGGTGGGTCTTATGCCTTTAGCTTTACCAGTAGACCTTCCTGCTCTTTGTCATAGAGACTAACTTAATGGGGTGGGATTACTGAACAATGTAGAGAGGTTCAGATCAATTGAAGAATGATTATACAACTTGTTAAGTTGATTTCAGTCAGCACAGAGCAGTAATGGAAGGGAGGTGGGTGGCTGGAGCACTCATCTCGTCATGGTTGTCTGTCCTGTCTTTCTATTGGTGCCTCCTTTCCAGCAGTGCTTTTCAGGGGCTTGGAGGACACAGGGTGCTCAGGGCCAGTACATGCTTGTCGGATGGGGGCATATCTGGCCAGTGGCCAGCAGAAAGCCCTGGTTTCTATGTGCACTTCTTGCATGGAGCATATGTGGGCCAGACCTGTTGTCACCTGAGGAGCTCAGTCAAGACTTGGCACAACTGTCGGCTCTGGCCATCAGGATCATGACTTAGCATTCCCTAAGTAATAGGCGTGTGTGGTTGCTTGTCTGTTCTGTAGTCCTAGAAGTGCTTTCAGCATTTTGTAGAAGTTGAGATCATATTTTAGGGTAGTTTTAAATAAACAAAGTGGCCATTTCCAAACCTTTGCTGGTTTGCAAAATTTGCTGTTATTTTCATGTATGTTTTAATTCCTTATCCTCATTTTGACCAAATCACTGGCACTTTGTAGATTGTGGCTATTCCTCAGGCTTTGATAAACTCGGAGCATTTGGTGGTGGATAGACCTTCCAAGAAGCGTGAAGAAGAAATGCCCAGAAAATTTGCAGTTGTAGAGTTGAAGCAATCACATTTATCGTCAGAGAAATTTCTTTTTATTTGGCAGAACAGAAATAAGAGCCATTTCAGTCTATTAGATAAACTATGTGTACATACGTCTTTTAGAAATACTCCCAACTTGATAGAATATAAATGTTCAGGAGGATTTGTGGGTTGGCATCTGAAACTCTGCTTATTAGTAGCCTGAAAAATTATATTGCTGGTGAGTATTAGCATAGCTGAGACAAATGGAGTACTGCGTGTGTTTTGGTCTTCCAGATTCACTCAGCTTGTGTACTCTTATTTCAAACATAAATAACAGGAGAACAAGTGACATTGGGGATTAATCATATTTTGCCCTTTTTTTAAAAGCACCCCTTCTTTTTCTTTGAGAACTTTGTCATTCACTGAAAAAAAAAATGTCATTTTCCCCTTCCCCTGTTTTCTCAAAGCAACTAATCTTTTATATTGCCTCAACTTGGGCAGTTTATTTATCTTCACAAAATAAGTGCTGCACAAAGGAGAAATGATGGAGGTGAAATGAGATGAAGTCCCAGTCACCACCTTGTGTTCCATTTCATTTGTTTTTCCTCTACAAGAATCTATGAATACCTCCTGTCCCTTAATTTTAGAAGTTTCAATTAAAGTTCCTTAATTTTAGGGATTTTATATCTCTGTATTTATATTTCTATATTAAAGATTTTATATCTTTAAAATTTGTTTTAAAATAGATCACAAAGTGATTTCAACTTCTCACCAAAGGATGTCACTGTGATGAAGGGTGTGTGGCTGCTTCTACCACCCTGGTTTAATTTCATTCTCAACACTGTGTGATGAGATTTTAATTAAACCTAATGTAGTAATGC